TTGTACCAATGTTGACATTTCCATATTATAATACTATGTGATAATGTGCTTGTGCATGTCAAGTTCATATTAATTTTACCATAATATGATTGAAGTAGATTTAGGTATGATATTGTACCACTCTTAATTCTATCAGCATGGGTTGTACCAAGTAATCAGAAAGCGACTCTTACTCTTAACAGACTCGTTTTTTTTTTTTTTCAAAACACTTTTATCTTTTTTTTTTTTTTTTTGGGCCAATAAGCAGATAATTGAAGAATTTTATTTATGGGGAGAACATTTTTCAACTTTCTTCCAATATATATGTTGCATATATATTTCGAAATCAACAACGTTTGAGTCACCGCTTTCCTCAGTTTCCAAAATATAGGGCTCTCTACCTATAATTGCTTCTAAAGGTACAAAAAATGTTAAGATATTGTGCTATTTCAATTAAAAAATTAAAAAGTTATTAAAAAGATTACATATAGAATTCAACAATTAACACATAATACTCACAATAGTTGTGGGAACCATATGCAACTTTTTGTAAATATTCGTTGGTGTAAATTCCTATAAAATTTTCTGCGTGCCAACCATTTTTTTTTATCTTTTTATTTTGTGGTTGGAGAACTAATTTTCACCTTTTTATATGAAATGCATGTATTGATATCTCTTGTGAGAATTGGTGTGTCGTTTTCCATTAAAGAAGAACCTAGGGATTGCAAAAAAAAAAAAAATTTAAAAACTAAATAAATAATTTAACAGGGAGGACAATAATTGTGGGGGGGAGACCAATAATTGAAATTCAATTGTTAGGGTACCAATAATGAAAAAATCAAATAGGTTTTTCTATGTGGGTTTGTCCCCTATATTGGAGAGCCATTACTACCCCAAACAATAGACTAGAACCCAATTTGATTTATTGGGCCAGGGTTGTAACAGTCATAACTGTATTTGCTCCCCAAATTATGTTCTCCCATGCTTGTGATGCTTGTATAAACAATATAATTTATTTATTGTGTTTATGTTAAGATTGGAAATTTTTACTCTAATTTAGACTAAAACGAATGAAAAGATAAAAGCGATACCAAGAATTAAATTCAAACAGATAAATTAAAACATCAAAATTATAATGACTGAGTCTCGTGATGTAATAATTTATTAGAGACTGATCGAAAAATAAAAAATATAATATAATATTGAACTATAATTAAATTCGATAATGCTAGGTGACCCAAAAAAATATGGCTCGAATGATTCGAAACACTCAAAACAAACATTTTGGGTGTAAAATGACGTCATTTTGACACATTCGAACCATTCAAGCCACAAAAATTCGGGTCACCAAATATTTTCCAATTAAATTTTTATTATTTAGAAGTAAACCAAACACTAGGATGCATCTCCAATTAAATGGATTTCCTCCTCATGTGATCCATGTAGCCTAGATAGCAATGCTATATACATATAGATCTTTCTAGATTAATTACAGCATATATGTATATATATATATATATATTAAAAAGCATAGTGCCATAGCACATCATACATTAAAAGTTTTTATTATTTGTTTTTAATAGCAACTTGTGACGGTAGGTACAATTAGGCAAATCAAAGTTGATTTTTGTAAATTAGGTTTAAATCATGCTATATATATTCACAGCCGCCTTGCATAGCTCAACAATTATGCAGTTTGGGGGTTTTGGAGCTTTATGTCTTAAAAACATTTATTCGTTTTTCTGTTTTTCATTTGGTGAGTATGATATCTGTCTCTAATCATGTTTGGTGTTTGCATTTCATGAGATGGTGACCACTTAACCTATTCCATACTTAACACCCACTTGGGACTCATTTTCTAATTATGTTACCACTTTAAAACTCTAATCATAACTAATATCTAAAGTTTTATTTTCGACCGAAATTTCACGTTACCAAAATACAAATTATGTACCTACCGTCACAAGTAGGTAATTATGTTCATTTTCTAATTATGTCAACACCTCTCATATGAAGTTAATCGCTCTCTAGTAGGAATGGTAATAGGAGGGGGGTGTGTTTAAGTTTGTCATTTACTATCTTCATTCAATTCTTTTTCGAAATAAGAAAAATCGGGGAGTTGATGAGAGCGGCAAAAGAGGGGTTGTATTAATGAGAGAGAGATGATATAAGAAAAAAGCCTCATATATCCACTGAGGGTCGACCGCCAGTGAGGTGGCACTCCATAATTGGTCCAAAAAAAAACTATTTTTTTTTTTTTTTTTTTTTTTAAGTTTTTTTTTTGGGTTTCAACCAGTGGGGGCGCGACACCTCACTGGGGGTATGCAGCAGTGTTGATGATATAATATGCCTTCGTTTGGCATGTCAGGTTTTTTGACTTTTTTAGCTACAAAAAAGACAAAATAGACTTTTTAACTCAATAAGATAAAATATCACATCCAAACTATAATCATTTTATTTTTTCTCTCACAAAAGTCAAAAAGCCAAAAAGCTTATCCCAAATAAAGCTTTTTAACCACAAGCTAAAATAGTCAAAAAGTCAACCCACATCCCAAACGAACCCTATATAAGGAACAAGCAGTAGTAAAGGAATTTGCACCCTCCGAATCTCTTTCAGTACATTTTATTTTCTTGTACCTTTAATTTTACATTTTAATGAAATTTTTATTTTGCCAATAAGAATAATATGAGGAACAAAATATGATGAGTGATGAGTGTTGAAAAAATTAGAAATAAGAGATACATAAAATATATATACATTACTTGCTATTTTCTTATTGGAGTGCAAAAACTAAACTTGTTTGATTATGATTTTCAAAAAATACTTCTTAGAAAATTTTACTTTTTTATTTTTTGTATTTTTTTTTTGTTTTCAATGAATTTTTTAAATATTTTAAGTAGATTTTTTTATTTTTAGATACACCTAACATAACACTTAAAAAGTATAATATTTGTGAAAAAATCTTTAAAAAATTCACTAAATACCAAAAATATAAAAAAATACTAAAATTCAGTACATTTTTCATATTTTTGTGTATTTATTAATTTTTTAAAATATTTTTTCACAAATATTTTACTATTTAGATACATCTAAGTAAGGTGCATCCAAAAAGTAGGGTTGTTTGGGGTGTCCTAAATAAGTGCACTTTTTGTCTTTTTGGACTAAAAAATTGAGAAAGAAAATATAGATGTTTGGGTTAACTTTTTGACTTTTTATGGAAAAATGTGGAATAAAAAATTGTAAAAATTGGTTTGTAGGAGAAAATTATAATTGGGAGTTGTGCAGCCGTAATTGTTAACTTTTTAACTTTTTAAGTAACTTTTTGGCTTTTTGACTTTTCCTGGACATGCCAAACTTAGGGTAAAAAAATTACTTAAAATTTTAAAAATATTAACCAAAAACAAAAAATTATGAAAAATAAAAAACTCAATATTAAAAAAATTGAAACCAAGCACACTAATTGGAGTGAAAAAAACTGGCACGAGACAAGACTGGGAGATATGGGATGCCCCTACTCTCCATTTACCGGGCTGTAGTCCTTGCTCTTTTATGGGCTATTTTTATAAAACCACGCCCTTTGTCATATTCGGCCCAAGAAAACTGCTAGGCTGGGCATCTACTTTTGGGATTAGGTTACATTCAAACTAAGCATAACAAAGCCCAACCCAATTCAACAGTGGATTGGATTTGGACCTCTCTTATTTATCATCTTCTGCATCTCTAGCAATATTACAGTAGTTAAAATAATTAAAAGTAATTTTTATATTTTAACTAGTTAAACATTTAGGGTTCGTTTGGTTTGAATTTCCCAAAAATTTTTGGGAAAATTTCTCTACAAATGAGTTTTCAGAAAAACTCAAACCAAACAAATTTTCTCAAAAAAATTTCCCAAAACTTGTAAACCAAACAAGTTTTCCAAACAAATCTCTCTCTCATACACATCAAATCAATCACTTTTTCCAAAACTCTCTCTCAAAATAATTTTCCAAAATATCTTTCTAAAAAAACCAAACCAAACAACTTTTCGTACTTTTTATCTCCCAAACTCATCTCCCAAAATCAAACCAAACAAGCCCTTATTTTCTTTTTAAATTTCAAATTATATAGTATAGAATAGAGAGACATAAATAAATAAATAGGCTACCTAGTGAACAGTAACTTAAAGAAAAATACCCTCTTTTTTAGACATCACAACCTTCTTTTGATTTCAACCATTAATATATATATATAGGACCCACTCATGTATGTGTAGGACCTACACCATCAATAGTTCACATCCAAAAAGATTGTGGAGTCTCTAATAAAATGGGGTCTCAATCATTGTTGATAACTTAAATTTGCCTAAACATGAGTTGATAAGTTGTCGTCTTGAGTTAGGAGTGTTTGAAAATTAACTTTTTAAATAATGTTTTCATATTTTATAAAATGATACAAAAAAATAAAAATATTTACTTTGTTTGGTTTGGGTTTTTTAAAAATGTTTTTCAGAAAATTCTACTCTCTTTTTTCTTATTTTTTTATTTTTACTAAATTGTTTTTAATATTTTAAGTAATTTTTTTAATTTTTAGATACATTTAACATAAATATACTTAAAAAGTATAATTTTCGTAAAAAAAAAATTAAAAATTCACTAGATACCAAAAAATATTTAAAAAAAATGCAAAAATTCAAAATAGTTTTCATATTTTTGTATATTTATTAATTTTTTGAAATATTTTCTCACAAATATTTTATTTTTTAGATACATCTAAGTAAATTGCATATAAAAAAGTAGAAAAATATGTTTAAAATTTTAAAACTATTCACTAAAAATAAAAAATTATGAACAGTAAACAACTTAATTTTAAAAAAATTAAAATCAAACATACTGAATAATTTTTACCTAAAAATCCACCTCCCCAAACAAGGCGTTAGTTTGGCTCGACAGTTGGAAATCATGACACGTCATTTCTTATTTTTATTTTTATATTTTTACAAGAATTCCAAAACGACGTCATTTGTTTCATATGCTAGTGTCTTCCCTAGTCAATAACTCCTCGAGCCCTCTCTCTCTCTCTCTCTCTCTCTCTCTGTCCGTGTCGAAAATGGCAACCGCATCGTCGTCGTCGTCAGCATCATCTGGGGTTACAGAAAGAAGAGGAATACCAGCAGCTGCTTTCGTGGAAGATGTACACACCTACCTCTCTCAATTAGGTCTCGATGTCAACTCCGCCCTCTCTTTCCTCCAAGAAAGGTTTCTCTTTTTTCCTTCTCTCTCTCTGTATCTCTCTACTTTGTTTCATATATGTCTAGGTTTATATCTTTTGGACATACCCATGTTATTATTTGACAAACCCAGATCAAAATCCATATGGGTTTTATTGGAGGTTTTAGAAATCTATTGTATCTGTATCTATTTTTTCAGCTTGAGTGACTTGGGTTTGATTCCCTTTTCTTGATCTTGTTGTAATTGTTGTAGTTTATTACAACTTTTACATGCACTGGACTTATTGTTGATTTGAATTCAGTTACTCTATTACATCGAATGTTCATTTGAACTTACTCTGAAAATTGGAAAATTGAATTGCTCTGTATGTATATTGTTCTTCTTGTTTGTGAAATCCAACTAGTTCCTACTGTCACCATTCAGTCCCCAATTGTATGTAATCATACTTACACGTTACAATATGTGAACTACTTTAGCTCTCATTCAGATAATGCAAGTGAAAAAAAATTCTGTTTTGGGGATGAGCGGAGCTGGTAAATTTCGGGTAGATCCTTTTGATTCTGTCGCCTAGAACACTTATACTCTTATCTTACTTTTGCCAATAAGCAGTCATGGACTTGTGACAAAACCTTGAATTTTGCTTAAATTTTCATATTTTTTTGCTATTGGATCAATCTCTGAATTTAATGGATGTTTAAAACACAAATAGCAACTTGCCATCATGCCCCAAACCAAATCTTGACATGCTTAAGCTTCAGTTACTTTGCAACCCACACAACATGCATGCACATATTTAAAAAAAAACAAATCAATTTGTAATTCAAAATTTTCATATTATTATTCGTTTTTATATGAAATTCTTTATTTTATATATCCTGTATGAGATAGGAATACATAAATGCATAAAACCTGGTACATTAAGCTTAATTAACTAGATTGGTGCGAACAAATCTTGTTAGTTAATTTTTAAAATGTAGGACACCTTAGGAAACGTGTGTTAAGGCTGCCTATTATTGGAATTGTGGTGGATTTTATGTAAAACTTCTAGGGTTACTATGGGTAGTAGAAAGTTTCCAAGGTTTGTGAGATGTGGGTGGATTTTTCAAAAAAGTAGGTTGTTGAATTTTCAAACTCGTTGTTGTTAGAAGTCATGGATAGAAGCCATTTATAGTCTTTAGTGCTAAAGCAAAGGCTTGTTGATAGTTGTAATATTATTTTAGTCTAAGGGTAGTTTAGTAAGTTTAGTCTTTGTTTCCAAATTATGATTTAGTTCTTGGTATTTATATTTTGTGCATTTAATCTTTGATTATTGAGATAATATTACAACTCTAACATGTTAGGGGTCAATAGATTAGGATTTTAGCATTGAAGGAACGACTTTTAGGGGCTTGTACCCTAAGAATAGTGATTCTATGGAAAAAGAAGAAGAAGAAACTGTAGGTACTCCACCTAGACTTCCTTAGGAATTCCTGTTAGGAGGTTACACAAAGAATGATAGAATTTCAAAAGTTTCACATAAATTCTATAAAACTCAACTCATACGAATAAAAAGATTACATAAGTATTTATAGGCTGTTGGTCACTCCTCATTCTGTTAGGACTATGACACACAATTTAGAAAACTAAGAAGATTTGACCAATAAAGATGCTTCATACCAAATACAGACTCTGTATAAGACCTAATGATATTGTTTGACCTGTAATATGACTACTGGACTAACCCTACACCCGTCTAACAATTTTCAAAATTATGAAAATAATCCTCACTAGTCAAACCTAATAAAAATATTAAATATGTGTGGCATCATTGTGGATTAATGAAATAATGCCATTGTAGTGTAAATGTAATTTCTGGACATGTTTAATTGGAGACAATATATTGAAAGGCAGCCACCTTTACGTGATTATGCAGTATTAGTCTTGTGATGTAGTTCCTGCTCTAATTTTTTGCTCAGGCTTCAGCAATACAGGTTGGTCGAGATGAAACTTCTTGCACAGCAGAGGGATCTTCAGGTTTATTTCTTATTAATGTTCCTTCTCTGTACCTAATATGCTTCACATTGTATTGCTTTAAAGTCAAATATTAACAACTGTTGGTGCCTTGATAGTGGAAGAAAAAACAAAGTTTATGAACTGGTTGTTGAAAGTAAAAAATTATGATTGGGGACTAAAGAAGGACCACACCACACTCTTCATGTACTAAAATTATGATAGATTAGCTTGTTCTTTCCATCATATTTAATTTTTGGGGTGATCTGTGATAACAAATACCGAAGTTGCACTTGAAATGGATTAATGATATTAGGCATCACAATTCTGCAAAGTTAAGCCCAAGACCATGTGTATGAGCATTATGGCATGTGTCCTTGAGCATTATAGATTGTTAACCAACAAAAAATGTAAAAGAAAACTTTGTAGGAGATTACTTCCTGAAATGTGTCATGGGCATGCCTTTAGCATAAATCAAAAATAGGTGAACTTGTTTCCAACTGTCTGAGTTGGTGTCTGACTGTGGACTCTGCTTTTGACTTCATGGTCAAATAATGCTTGCTTTGTATACTTGTGGTTCAATGCATTGCACTAGTTTTGAGTTTCGGGGCTTATTCCATGCATCAGGTGCCATATTTTCATGTTTCGGGACCATTTAACATTATGTTTCAGTGCTGAAAATTACATGTTTGAATGCCATGCTTCATCCTTGCCATGTTTTGGTAGAGTGGCATTTAATGCCTTAGGTTCGATCCTCGGTTTGCGTGTATGTGTGCACGCATTTCGGTTGTCTCATTTTCATCTAATGGTTACTGATGTGAGTGTGGCTGAGGTCCACTCATGATTGGTGTAAGTCCATTGTGCATTGTGTATGCCTTTTCAATTCATAGCATTGCGTATGCTAGGTTGCGTGTTTGTACATTGTGTATGCCATGTTACATCGAGCATTGTGTATGCCATCTCATAGCATTGCGTATGCTAGGTAGTATGTTAGTCGCATTGTATATGCTATCTCATTTGCATCGTGTTTGGGATAGGAGTTAGCCCAAGCACGGGAAACGAGGTACGTTTCATACTCCGAGTAACGGAACGTGTCTCAATTCCCTGTCGCCAACACTCCGGATTACCCATGATGGAGTTTAGGTCTTGTTATGTTTTCATGTGCATTCATTTCATATTGAGTCGTGCAATTCGACTCCTCGGCCATCATGCATCGATATGCGTGATTGGTGGCACGAGGATTGAGGACTATATTCTCTGAAGAGTAGTCATGCATACATATGTGAAAATACTTTGCCATGCCCCTTTCTTGCTCTCTGTTACAGCAAATCAGAAATCAGCAGCCTTCTAAAACCTTGCACAGCATTCCGGTATTAATTGCAAACAGAGGCAAACCGGGACATCGTAATGGATTTCTACGCAAGACAACTCGAGCATGCATCATTCATCATTTAGAACATAACTGGGGCGGTCCATGGATTTGCGTACCAATTTACCTGCTTTCCTAGATTAATTTGTTAATTAATTAGGGTTTTGTATTTATTCGGACTGTATTATTCATTTCGGATTGTATTATCATTCGGACTGTATTATTCTTTCGGACCCTCCGAGTGAGGGCACAATTGTAATAAGTGTGCGTGAGTGTGATGTATGTTTTCTAACCCCACGTCTTTCTCCCTTTTATTTACCAGCTTATGATGGTTAGATTAGGGCATGTTTCAATTAGTATACAGTATGATAACATGTCTGCATTCATTCATCTGTCTTGCATGCACCGGGCTCGGCGCATCATACTAACTGCATTTGTATTTCAAATTCCAAATTGAATATGTTCTAGCTGTAGCATCATCATATGCCATGTTTAGAATAGCCGAGCCTATCTTAGTTGCATTTTGCACGTGTTGCATTAGGCATTACTGCATAGTTAGGATTTATGCATGGATTTCTAGCATAGCTTCTGTTTTGGCTTAGAGTACTCGGTAAGTGTTTTTGCTTTAGCATTCTTGTATGTGTGTGAGTGACTGCCATGATAGTATGCTTACCATGAGGCTAAGTGCTTATATGATATAACTGCCTGAGTGCCTGTGGGTGAATGTTGGGTTATTTGAATTGGAACAATTCATTAATTGTGAGTTTTAAGCCCACTTGAGAGTAGCAAATCATCTTGTTTTCTAAGCCCACCTGAGGGTGGCAAATCCATTTTTTAACCTACTTGCGAGTAGCAAACCGTTTTTTTTTTAAACAAACATGAAACGTTTTGTTCCAATTCAGGCGATCCAGTCTATACGTGTATGCTGTGCGCATCACATAGTAAATCTAGGCTAATAACCAGAATAAGAACGCATAATGTTTTCAAAACTAGATATCATGGTTAGTAGAGGCCGATCTTTGATCGGGCGAGCGGGGGTGCTCACGAAGTGACCTTCCCCAATCGTACCCAAGTTCTCGAGCCGAGGCAACTTTGGTGATGACGGACACGTGGCCTTAGGCAACGAGTCAGGGTTTCCTAAATTTTTCAAAATAAAATATTTAGGTGGCGACTCTGTATCTGGCAAAGCAGTCCATGTTTGGCACTTCTTTCAAAAAAATCTGTTTTCAAAAACGATTTGCCGGATTTGGATTCTTTGATGATTTCATTGGTCTTGTATTACACTCTGCGAGATTAGATACAGGACCGTGACATTGAGTCCTGAACTGTAGTGAGCCCAAATAAACAACACGCGATTTTCCTCCCGGGACGTTCAGGGACGTCTACATAGATCTACATCAGATCAGAGTAGATCTACTCATCTTCTTCGTTGGAAACATATCTTCTTTACCGTCGGTGAGGGTGAAGTAAAGAGTCGGCGGTCGGTGGTTGCCGGTGAATCCCAATCGATGGCAGTAGTCGGTCGTCGGTGACTATATATCGGAAAGAGAAAGAGAAAAAGCAGTCATCCATGACAAAGAAGATGAGAGAAAAATACAGAAAAAAATAGAGAGAGAAAAACGTAAAGAGTGAGACAAAAAACAGAGAGAGAAGAAAAGTAAGACTTTTGAGTCTACTCAAAAAAATTATTAAATTAAATAATATATATACATATTTTAAATAAGACCTGTGGGTAATTTTCCCTTTTTATTTTTATGTTTTTACAAGAAGAGTAATGATTCATCCCCTTTTTCCCCCACCCCTTTGACCTCTCTCTCTCTCATTGATTACCTTTTCTTTTTCTTTTTCTTTTTTTTCCTGCTCCACCAATCACCCCTGCCACGTGGCAAAGGGGTGAGGGGTGACCCAAAAGGGTTATTATTCTTACAAGAATTCATTTGCTTCATATGCTCGTGTCTTCCCTAGTCAATAACTCCTCGAGACCTCTCTCTCTCTCTCTCTCTATCTGTGTCGAAAATGGCAACAGCGTCGTCGTCGTCGTCAGCATCATCTGGGGTTACAGAAAGAAGAGGAATACCAGCAGCTGCTTTCGTGGAAGATGTACACACCTACCTCTCTCAATTAGGTCTCGATGTCAACTCCGCCCTCTCTTTCCTCCAAGAAAGGTTTCTCTTTTTTCCTTCTCTCTCTCTGTATCTCTCTACTTTGTTTCATATATGTCTAGGTTTATATCTTTTGGACATACCCATGTTATTATTTGACAAACCCAGATCAAAATCCATATGGGTTTTATTGGAGGTTTTAGAAATCCATTGTATCTGTATCTATTTTTTCAGCTCGAGTGACTTGGGTTTGATTCCCTTTTCTTGATCTTGTTGTAATTGTTGTAGTTTATTACAACTTTTACATGCACTGGACTTATTGTTGATTTGAATTCAGTTACGCTATTACATCGAATGTTCATTTGAACTTACTCTGAAAATTGGAAAATTGAATTGCTCTGTATGTATATTGTTCTTCTTGTTTGTGAAATCCAACTAGTTCCTACTGTCACCATTCAGTCCCCAATTGTATGTAATCTTACTTACAAGTTACAATATGTGAACTACTTTAGCTCTCATTCTGATAATGCAAGTGAAAAAAAATTCTGTTTTGGGGATGAGCGGAGCTGGTGAATTTCGGGTAGATCCTTTTGATTCTGTCGCCTAGAACACTTATACTCTTATCTTACTTTTGCCAATAAGCAGTCATGGACTTGTGACAAAACCTTGAATTTTGCTTAAATTTTCATATTTTTTTGCTATTGGATCAATCTCTGAATTTAATGGATGTTTAAAACACAAATAGCAACTTGCCATCATGCCCCAAACCAAATCTTGACATGCTTAAGCTTCAGTTACTTTGCAACCCACACAACATGCATGCACATATTTATAAATAAACAAATCAATTTGTAATTCATAATTTTCATATTATTATTCGTTTTTATATGAAATTCTTTATTTTATATATCCTGTATGAGATAGGAATACATAAATGCATAAAACCTGGTACATTAAGCTTAATTAACTAGATTGGTGGGAACAAATCTTGTTAGTTAGTTTTTAAAATGTAGGACACCTTAGGAAACGTGTGTTAAGGCTGCCTATTATTGGAATTGTGGTGGATTTTATGAAAAACTTCTAGGGTTACTATGGGTAGTAGAAAGTTTCCAAGGTTTGTGAGATGTGGGTGGATTTTTCAAAAAAGTAGGTTGTTGAATTTTCAAATTCATTGTTGTTAGAAGTCATGGATAGAAGCTATTTATAGTCTTTAGTGCTAAAGCAAAGGCTTGTTGATAGTTGTAATATTATTTTAGTCTAAGGGTAGTTTAGTAAGTTTAGTCTTTGTTTCCTAATTATGATTTAGCTCTTGGTATTTATATTTTGTGCATTTAATCTTTGATTATTGAGATAATATTACAACTCTAACATGTTAGGGGTCAATAGATTAGGATTTTAGCATTGAAGGAACGACTTTTAGGGGCTTGTACCCAAGGAATTGTGGTTCTATGGAAAAAGAAGAAGAAGAAGAAGAAACTGTAGGTACTCCACCTAGACTTCCTTAGGAATTCCTGTTAGGAGGTTACACAAAGTATGATAGAATTTCAAAAGTTTCACATAAATTCTATAAAACTCAACTCATACGAATAAAAAGATTACATAAGTATTTATAGGCTGTTGGTCACTCCTCATTCTGTTAGGACTATGACACACAATTTAGAAAACTAAGAAGATTTGACCAATAAAGATGCTTCATACCAAATACAGACTCTATATAAGACCTAATGATATTGTTTGACCTGTAATATGACTCCTGGACTAACCCTACACCCGTCTAACAATTTTCAAAATTATGAAAATAATCCTCACTAGTCAAACCTAATAAAAATATTAAATATGTGTGGCATCATTGTCAATTAATGCAATAATGCCATTGTAGTGTAAATGTAATTTCTGGACATGTTTAATTGGAGACAATATATTGAAAGGCAGCCACCTTTACGTGATTATGCAGTATTAGTCTTGTGATGTAGTTCCTGCTCTAATTTTTTGTTCAGGCTTCAGCAATACAGGTTGGTCGAGATGAAACTTCTTGCACAGCAGAGGGATCTTCAGGTTTATTTCTTATTAATGTTCCTTCTCTGTACCTAATATGCTTCACATTGTATTGCTTTAAAGTCAAATATTAACAACTGTTGGTGCCTTGATAGTGGAAGAAAAAACAAAGTTTATGAACTGGTTGTTGAAAGTAAAAAATGAATTATGATTGGGGACTAAAGAAGGACCACACAACACTCTTCATGTACTAAAATTATGATAGATAGCTTGTTCTTTCCATCTTATTTAATTTTTGGGGTGATCTGTGATAACAAATACCGAAGTTGCACTTGAAATGGATTAATGATATTAGGCATCACAATTCTGCAAAGTTAAGCCCAAGACCATGTGTATGAGCATTATGGCATGTGTCCTTGAGCATTATAGATTGTTAACCACAAAAAACTTTGTAGTAGATTATTTCATAAAGTTCATTATGGGCATTCCTTTGACATATTTAAGCATAAAAAATAGGCGAACATGTTTCCAACTGTCCAAGTTGGTGTCAGACCGTCGAAGACAGCTACTAAGATAGATAGGTTTTCAACGGCCCTTGGGCATGCAATCATCATTTATTGTTAACCAACAAAAAATGTAAAAGAAAACTTTGTAGGAGATTACTTCCTGAAATGTGTCATGGGCATGCCTTTAGCATAAATAAAAAATAGGTGAACTTGTTTCCAACTGTCTGAGTTGGTGTCTGACTGTGGACTCTGCATCACTTCAATGGTTGTCCAAGTCCAACACACTGCTTTTATATGTTTTCGAGAATGGTGTGGAATCTTTCTTTCTCTTTCTGGCTGTGGTGGTGGGGTGCTTGGTGCTGGTTTTTGTGCTGGAATAAATTGGTGGGCCAATTTACACAATTGATTGGTTGCATATTTACATTGTGGCATGTCAGAGTCTCAGTGCAAGTTTGGGCTATTGGATACATACAGATACAGTCGACTTCTAATGCTTGAGACTATGCTTTGTTAAGTGGAGTTAAATTGTGCTTTTGTGAAGTTGTAGAAATTAACTTGACATGGTTATTTTGATCTGGTTTCTGGCTAAATATTTTAAAATTACGAGTTTTCGAAAGTCTTATGATGAGGTTGTAGCCTAATCATATGTTTGCATTTTTCTGTCTTAAAGTCATTACCAAACTGTAACTACTCTTTATATGTCAAATTTGATTCCCATAAACTAGGAATTGCTTGCTTTTCTGTAATTTTCATGAGAAATTTGAATCTTGCTGGCTCTCGCTTCTTGTTTGTTGTGGTTATCAGGGGAAGATCCCAGACATTGAGAAGTGCTTGGATATAGTCGCTACTTTGCAAGCTAAGAAGGGTACTGGTGAGGTTCGTTTTAACTCTATGAGTTTGTTCAATATATCTGCAATTTGGGTAAACTTGTCTGTAACTTTGCTGTCAGACGATATTTGAAATTGGGATGGCAGTATAGTTGTGTGAAGGTGAACCTCATTAACTTTCGTGGTTTTTATTATATTTTGTAGAGGCGGTATAACCTGGATAAGAGAATTCTGGATCATTAATCTGGTAGAATAATGCACTCTGGGTTTTGTGGACACTAGTTGACACAAGTTTGTGCATGCATGCAAATCCATTTATACTAGAAGATGTGACTTCATCCATTAGTATTTACGTGCACATGTGATGACAAATTGACTTCCATCAGATAAATATTGAGAGAAAAAACAGTGCATATCATTGTGGGAGAGGTAGTGCAGGTTTATACTTTGCTTTCTTGCTGCTGGTCTACTGGTCTGTGTATTTCACGTGTTAGAGAGTCACATTTGTTTAGTATCTACCCGCGCCGCCATGGCATCTAATTGAAGCCCTCAATATTGTATACTAAAATGTAACTACAATTTAGATTAAATTGAACTTAGCTTTACAATGCCTATTTGGGGTTGGCTTTTGCTCCTTTCACCTTTTTATTCTCTTTTCTTTTCCCTTGTCCTTGCACAGAACCTACGATTTGCACTGCTCTTTATTTCTGCTTCATGATGTTTATTATTTACTGATAATGAAATGACATTAAGTTATCTTCTATCAGCTTGTCACTGAAGATTGTAGGACTCTACGGACAAGGTATTCTTTTCTTTCATGTATTGTCGAGGGTCTTTGTTAAAAGACACCAATAACACGGAGGCATATTTTGTACTTTCAAATTTTTTAGACATATTACTCGAATGCAGGAATATTGTGGTCCTAGGTCTTAAAAGTTATAGTGCATAGAACATTGAACCTTATAGTGGTGGGCTCTAATTTGCCATGTGTCAATGTGGGTTAAGTGTTGCCATGTGTCTCACATACTCCAAAACTTACACTACCAAATGTGGACCTTCTGTTTGTGTGTTTGACATTTCCAATGATTTTCAGCTTCTCGTATTGTACAATCATATGACCACTTTTATGCGGTTTCATATTTTGGTTGCAGGCACTGCTAGCCGATTTCGAAGTGTCTGAAGGCATCTATTCTCGAGCACGCATTCAGGACACTGATTCAGTATGTTTATGGCTGGGAGCTAATGTCATGCTGGAGTACTCATGTGAAGAGGTACCCATTTGTTATCTGAATATGTTTGTTAGCCTTTGGCCCATGGACACAAGAAATTTTGAAGTTCTTTAAACTTCAAAGTGCAGGCCACCAAACTTCTACAAATGAATTTGGAAAATGCTAGAGCCAGTTTAGAAGTTATTGTTGCAGATCTACAATTCCTGAGGGATCAAGTGACGATTACTCAGGTAAAGTTGGTGTTTTAGTGATTTTGGGAGTTATTGCTAAAAGAGTTCAAAGCTTGTTCGCAAATTCACAGGCTTTCTATTTTTAATTTTTACTCGATTCAAGAAAAATTTTACTAGTTTAAGGCATATGAAAGCATGGTAGCACAATTGATTATGTTATTTGGTGGTGGATCTTTACCATATTACTGCTATTGAGCAGGTCACAATCGCTCGCATATACAACTGGGATGTTCATCAACGCAGAATCCGACAAGCACAAGCCTCACCTGCCAAAGACTCATGAGAAAAGTTTCGCTACACCCAGATAAGAGCTGGCAGAACCTGCTATTCTAGCCAAAAGTATGGACCTAGTTTCTCTTTTCCATTGTTTTAGGTAATGAGATTGTCTTTACTATTTTATTTTTTTAGTTTTTTTTTTATAATATTATGAGATGTGTTCTCATATCAATTGAGCTTCTCGTTCCAGATTTTGATCGGTTGAAATAGTTCTGTTGTGTAAGAAAAAGTTATCACATTATTAGGGTTGAGCTGTAACAAGATTCGCTATGATTTAGGTTGTCAAATATGTTTTTTTTTTTTTTTCCTGTAGCCCTACCTCGTTTTTCTCTCAGCTAGACAGGTCATTTCAATTTAGTTCCTCTGATTTATGCCTTCAGTGATGGTTGATCTTAGTTCAAATTTGAAAATTTTGGATTACTGCAAAATGGGGCCTACAGAAGATTCTTTAGGAGAGAAACTTTGTCGGCCAAGCGTCTTCGTCCAATAGAGCGGCCCGGTGTTACGATTTGTGTCTTCGAATGATGTCAGTGCAGTCACTGTCAGTCCTAAAAAGAGTTTCAGAGTTGGATGATTTGTATTAGTATATTGCAGTTTAAGTCAGGAATAGCATTATTGGCACTTTAAGTGGATTTGAATAAGGAAAGCATTAGTTCGCTTGGGAATTAACAATTGAATGTAGGTGTTACATCAGTTTGGTTTTCTTTGGTTTTGAGTGCTCTGACTCCACAATTAGGTGGGGCACCACTAGTTGTGTTCTTATGACTTGTGATCAAAGTGGGAAAAGAAAACTATGTTGTTGATATTCACATGAGTTTGAATCTTGAAAATGGTTTGCCTCCCTGCTGCACCTCATTCTGGCCAAGGGTTTCACACCAATTATTGTGGCATCTATTTGTTGAAAAACATTTGCAATTTTTCAGAGCATGCAAGGCTTGTCTGCTGCTGATGTAGTGAAAATTATTCAGTGCAGTTTGCAGCAATGCCGCAACTAGTTAGGTCACAGGTGCAAAATATCAAAAATACCCTAAACCCTCAACAAATCACACAAGTTGGATCTTCGTTCGAATGATTACTAGTGTCTAGTACTTATCAGGATTTATACATTACAAAAAATTTAACCTCAACTGATTATTCACGCAATTTTCTGTAAAGTTTTTGCAAAACACATGCCAAAAACAGAGAGTTGAAAGGCAGTAGTTACAATACCAAAATAACAAAAAAACTTTTGGGAGGATATTTGACTTTAGATTTGTCTTTTTTGAAGGGAGGGACCTCTTTGTATTGTTTCAAGATTGTGTGTTGATGGTAGAATTGGAGACCTAAAACATACGCTTTGTCACACCTCAATCTAGCGGCTGGTAGAGCACCACACGTTATGTAGTGTCTGGTGTGCTCTTGGCAGCCCTTGAAAATCCGGTGGACCAAGAGCCTTTCATGTTCGATAGTACTCCTAACAATTGTATCAAGTTTTCAAGGTGAATAACCTCTTGTGATGTAGGCAAGGGAAGTCATTAAAGTGAATTCATAACTTTGAAAAGGGTTAATATCTGAGTTTGATTCTTATTACTGCGCGAGACAATTACCTTCTTCTATTCATCTCTGTATACCCTCTTGCTAAATTTGAATTAATTTATTACTCTATTGTCATAGTTGTCAAGTGTAGTAACAAGGTTGGGGGTCATAAAATGGACAACATTGAACACAATTCAATTCTACAACTTAATGAATGAATTGAGAAATGAATGTATTCTATATTTCCTTTTTTTTTATTACATCTATATCCTATCTATGAATAGGTTCAAATTATTAACTATGTAATCAGTTGTTCAAATTATTAACTAGGTTCAAATTATTCTATACTGTAGGTCATCCTTTTTTGTTAAACAAATCAAAGTTATGATGTACTTCAAAGAATACTTTAAAAACGTTCCTCTAAGAAGTGGACTTTTGAGTAAAGGTATAAAATGAATTAAGTTATTCAAGTTTAATTCATATTCAGTTCGTTAAAAACATATTCGAGATTAGTTTGTGGTATAAATAAGTCAAATATAAATATATTTTAATATTTTTAATTTTACTATATTGTAATTTGTTTGAGATCATCTCGAAAGGTAAGTAAGTCAAATTAAAAAATATTTTGAAAAACTCGTTTAATTTTACTCCATTGTGCGTGCAATTTTTTTCACTTAAGAGGCTTGGAGAGATTCATTATGGAACCTTGGATCCCAAACTAGGGGTTTTATTTCAGACTGAGCTTTCAGGTGGGAACCCATGGTTAAGACAATGGTCCCAAACCCAACTGACCTAAGGTTTGACTGACCCACCCTCCAACGGTCAATAAAAAAGCCTGATATTAACAAAAAAACAGATCAATAAAAAAGCCTAATCTTAACAACAACAAAATTATTAGTTGATATTGGAGCGCCATGTGATGATCTCCCATACCAATTATAATTTATTATATCTTTTCATATTTCTCACTTGTCCAACACAAATTTGTATATCTTTTCATATTTCTCAATTACCTAACACAAATTCGTAAATTCTACTGCCTCCACTAATCACAATACCATTTGAGACACCACGTAAAGATACCCAAGACCAACCAATAACTCCTCAATCTTAACTTTCCATTCCCATCTTTCACCCTGACACTCCAACGTGCATACATACATATATGTATATATGTAGATATAGATATGAAATCCCAATTCAAATTAAAAATTGCTAAATCTACAACCCATATGAGAAGAAAAGTTGGGGCGCATAAAAAAAAATCGAAGAACTTATCATTTTAACTTCCGTTTTGGATATGTAGATTTGATATAAAATATTTAAGGATCAATTTTTTAAATTGTTGAATTGTAAATAAGTAAAAATACGTGAAAGTAATTACAAAAATAAGGTGGTGTGATGAAGTATGTGCTCTGGTGTAAGTAAAATCATAATTTTCTCGAAGTTATTTTATATCTATTAATTAAAATTCTCAAATTCATTCTAAATATATTACGATGTACTCTTCCAAATGAATGATGTCAAATTCATTCATTTTAAATTTATAAATATAAACACACTTTGGTACTCATCTCTAATCTCTCACTCACATTTTACTTTGGTATTCCTCTTCAAATTATAATAATAAAGTTCTCAAAATTTAATATGCGTTTTAATGTGATCCTTCCATTCCTTTACCATTTAAAATTTGAGTGAAAATATGAAAAACTAAAGTGAAATTTCAGTAATTGATGAAAAGGATAATTTACTGGATTTTCGACACCTATAAAATGTGCTCTTGTGATTTTTACTTAGGTAATTTTATGCCAATTTTTTTAGTGATAAGTCACAAGAAAACTACATTGAAATATGAGTAAAAATATTAAAATTTTAATTATTACAATTAAAAAATAAATATCAAAGCATAATTCAGATATAAAAAATAATAATTAAAGGTAAAAAGTGTAATTTAAGAAGAAAAAATAATGCACACCTTAGTTGCACGAAATCGGGACCGTAAATTATAAAGGGCAGTGAATGACGTGCACGCAAGACCGAGGATGTTTTTGTCATTTTACGTTGGAAGAGCTTCTGTCTGCTTCTGTGTTAACGCGTTAACGTTACAAATTATTACATACACATCATATATTTGTACACGAAAAATCTGTACAAGAATGTTGACTTTGACTTTTGATCATGTGCGGTTCTGATCCGAACAGTGGCCCACAAAACTCCCCCAAAAAGATTATTTTACGAGTATTTGATTAAGGCCAAGTTTGACTACTACAAAATAATTTATTTTTTTATCTTTTTATTTTTTTTTGTCATATCACTTCTCTATTTTTTTATATATTTTTTCGTAAAAAGATAAAAAGTGCACTTATTTAGGTTATCCCAAACAACCCCTAAAAGGTAAATTATAAATACATTTCTTGATATTTAATTAAAATATGAATTTTTTTTTGGTATTAAAAGTTTTATTTCATCTCTTGAGGTTTTAAATTTTATAACAAATCGTCTATTTTATTAATAAATATCAAGTTAATTAATAATTTTTAATACTGTTATAAATATGTTTTATTTAATAATTTAAATAATTTTATTATTGTATAGGAAAACAATTATGAATTTCGTTTTTAGTTAATTCCATTAAATAATTTTTTTTAATAATAGGATATTTGTAATTTTCTAAATTATAAGAGACAATTTGTATGTGTTTGGTAATGTTTACGTTTTCAGTTTATATTTACAAAAATTTTATAAACTGGTTTTTGTTTATTTTTAGAAAAATATAAACTACAAACGCGTTTGGTAATTGACAAAATGTTTAAAAAAAATTTAAAATATAAAAAAAAGTGAGAAATGGCAAGTGGTGGCAAGTGGCGGCGGAAGACGGTGGTGAAAAGTGGTGACGGTGGGTGGTGGTGGTGGTGGTGGCGGCGGCAGGTGGTGGGTGGTGGCGGCAAGTGGGTGGCGGATGGCGGGTGGTGGGTGGTAGGTAATGGTGGCGGGTGGTAGCGAGTGGGTAGTGGCGGGTGGTGGGTGGTGGTAGCGGGTAGGTGGTGGGTGGTGGTGGTGAGTGGATAGGTGACGGTGGCGGGTGGTGGGTGATAGCGAGTGGGTGGTGGTGGCAGGTGGGTGGCGGATGGCGGGTGGTGGTAGGTGGTGGCGGGTGGTGATGGTGGATGGGTGGATGGGTGACGGTGACGGGTGGTGGGTGGTAATGAGTGGGTGGTGGTGGTTATGGTGGCGTGGCGAGCAGGTGGTGGTAGCAGGTGGGTGGCGGAAGCACAATATATATATAGAGAGAGGGAGAGAGAGAATTCTAGAGAGAGAGTAAGATTTTGCTCTTTCAAAATTCTGAACCCCTCTAAAGGGAGAGGGACCTCCCCTTATATAGATAAAGCAAGCCAAAGCTTCCTTGACAAGCTAGAAACTTGTTTCCATCCCTCCATACATGTATGGAGGATGGCTTCAATGTTCAACAGCTGGCCCAGCTGGCACATAAAATATATAAAAAAGCAGAAAAAAGGTCCTCGGCCAAAACTTGTGGCCAACCGGCCATCAGCAAGGCCGACCGGCCACCACTGATGGCCGATGGAAACAAGGCCTAGCAGATGGGTTGTACGGCTGGCCGGCAGGCCACCTTCTTCCCCCAGAAGCAAAGATACAAGTTCTTGGTGCACAACCAAACACAAAACAGACAAGTCGAGAGGTTCGAAGGCAAGGCACTCCGCCAAGAACTTCAGGCGCTCTAAGCGAACACGAGCATGGATGATCATCGAGTGTTCAAAAAATGACGTCTAAGTCTTGAGGACGGTCAAAATTTGCGTGTGTACACATAACCTCTAATATTTTTGCCCCAAACTAGCAAGTTCTGCA